TCTTTGCTTTCTTCCCCTGTTGCGGGACACCAACAGAGGCAGTGTGGGAGCTGCGTCCCAATGGTCCTGGTCATCAGCCTCGTGCCCCCTCACCTCTGCTGTGGAAGGAGGTATCAGCTCTGCCAGTAGTCTCTGGGTCTAGGGACCCTCTGGCACCCCTTCCCCCCCCAGCAGCTGCCCTCATGAATCCCCACCCCAACCTGCCGCTGAATGCCATCACCCCTGGCATTTGGCATTGGTACATTCTGTGCAAGTGAGCCAGTTGCAGTGAGGGGGGGGGCATAAGGATATCTTCCGCAGCATCAGCACCTTCCTCTCCTGCCCAGCCTTTGATGTAGATAACATTCACTTATTTAAAGTAGAGAAAATTGCACCAGAGCCTTTTGCTCAGTGTGGTGAAATCCTAACAAGACTGGTGAACCTTACAGAATTGTCCATGGTGGTAAATCCACAAGTGACGGGTATCTAATGTGCATAGTAAATTCCAGTGCTTTATTACTCATTGGGGCTATTCCTGTTTCAAAACTTGTGCCTCTTGGTGTAATAACTGTATGTTTTAATATAAATCTACTTGGTGTGTGTTAAAGTACATTCCACACCAGCACTTTTTCCTTGGAAGGTGATAAGGTACAACACAAACATTAAGTAGGCCTCAACATATCTCTGTGGTATAGGTCGCTGTTGTCCCTGTTTTATGGGTGAGGAGACTGTTACAGCAATAGTAAACCGAGCAGCCAGATGCCACAATTTACTAGTGGCTTGGTAAAAGAACTGAGAATGGCTGGCATCTGATCCTGCCCTCTGGCCCCTGCATGACAATTGCTGTCTGAATGCAACACACTGTATGCATGTATAATGATATGTTCTCTCTCTTTGTTGTGTTCAGCAGTGCAATAATGCTTGTGTGTTGGCTGGTGAGGAAAGATAAATGCTGTCCAAGAATCAAGCTGCCTCACTTAGAAACAGTAGTGATAGGGCGCGGCCCAGAGACAGAGATAACAGACAAGAAATGTTCGCGGCAGCAGGGTAAGTTAGAGCTGCAGTGTATTTGTAACCGCTACTTTGATGATGACCTAGTAGTCCCAGTAATATTGATGTGCCTAAGAGACCCAGAGGTGCAGATGTAGGTTTCCGATCTGGTTTCTTGTAATTGTAGAATAAATCTAAGCCTATTACCATAAGCCAAAGGGTCATCTCTCTCCTCTCTGAACATAGTGTTGCCTATCCCATGCATCAGTCCTCCTTGTAGGACCCTAGATAATCTCCTGTAACCTGACCAGCAGGAAGGCAAGCAGCCTCCCTGCCACCAGAAGGGAAAGAAATTGACCTTGATGACAACCGTGTATCTATATGGTTTAATAGATTTGATGAAGGGTATGGAGGGACTTTAGAGTGTGACATTCTTTCCAGGTTCTTGTGAATATGTTTTTTCTTTATAAGTTGTTCATGTTCTAGAGATGCCTATAAGTGCTTTTTATTAATTGAAATTAACAAGCTATATATGCTAACAAGCACCCAGATGCTCTCCACCCCAGGGTGTTGAGGGAGCTAGTAGGGGT